AACTACAGTAGAGCGGAGGCGATTTCGAAAGCGGATTATAAATTTCAAACTGTGAATCAAACTAACTAACAGTTAGTAGGAGAATTGATACGGATCGGTGCAGTTTTAGTACATTATGCGGTATTTTGCACAACTTTACATAATATAATAGGATATAGCAAAATTTTCTAATAAACAACCAATTATTCTATGCGCAAGTTATGATGTACTCATTGTAGTGTTTGTTATAACTTATTGTGATGTTGGTTGACCTATTCAAAAGGTCTTTGGTTATGACTCATTATGTTTTTTTAATTATAATTAAAAATAATTTAGTTATAATTTTTGTGATAATAAATATCACAAATGTCATAATTTGTATATGATACACTTCAAAATGTGTACATTCTAAATTACCAATGTATAGTATAAAACACTATCAATGGGCACAATGAACTCATCGCAGGGCTTATATATGAAAATTAAAAAGGATCACTTTGATTCCTAAACGGCTGCAGATGCGAGATTAAAAATGCAGTAGAACACTTCACTTTTGTGGCCAAGGTGTACATAATGACAATATCAAATCAATTTTTGTTTTATGTCATTGGCAACAAAGTGGAATTGGTAAGAATTTCAAAAGGGAAAGTATGAGTTTGAAGAATAATCACTTGGGTAAATGAGTACAAAAATAGTTAAATATCATATTTTGACAAATAAAAATATCTCATTTTTATTAAAAGTGCGATAAAAAAAAATTAGATTGATATATTAATCACAATTGATTTGATTAAGTGTGATAATATTTAATTTTTATGTCACTTTTTAATTAAGTATGATTATATATATTTCTTTAATCACACATTCTAATTAACATGTGATTAAAGATCACATAAGAAGAATTAAAAATATCTCACTTTTATTAAAAGTGTGATTAAAAAACTAAAATGATTTTTTAATCACACTTAATTTAATGAGTGAGATAATATTTTTTTTAATCATACATTTTAAATAAGTGTGATTATATATAGTTATTTTTATCACAATTTCAGATGTGATTGTATATAATTTTCAATTTAATTTTTATATAAAATAATTATTCCCATATTCGCACATCTTCTACATGATTGAGATGGGCACGACTCTTTGAAACACCCACCAAGATTGAATTTTCTAAACACGTTTGTGTGTTTGATAACGTTTACGTTTTCAGTTTATATTTACAAAAATTTTATAAACTGGTTTTTGTTTATTTTTTGTTTATTTTTAGAAAAACATAAACTACAAACGCGTTTGGTAATTGACAAAATGTTTAAAAAAATTTAAAAATATAAAAAAGAGTGAGAAATGGCAAGTGGTGGCAAGTGGCGGCAAGTGACGGTGGAAGACGGTGGTGACGATGGGTGGTGGGTAGCGCGTGGTGGTGGGTGATGGCGGGTGGGTGGTGGTGGTGGGTGACGGTGGCGGGTGGTAGCGAGTGGGTGGTGGTGGTGGTGGTGGCGGTGGCGGTACGA